CTAAATAATTCAAATTTTGGGAAAACCCTTGATATTTCAGATTTCTCCGGTTTTAAGCCTATATCAACAAGGAAATAAAATACCAATGCTGTGTATTAGCCGATAATTTTTTGGGGCGTGTATTTTGTTGTTTGATAAAGTTGTCAATGACGAGAATGTAGATAAAAATTGCCAGAACATGTACGTTAAATAACGGACTACGTACTTCTCTGTCCAAATACCGCAGAAAGAAATCCAATAAAAACGATTTTCCCTTCCTGAATGCACCGGCAACCGACACCACAGCAACCTTCTTGTCTCTAACACTCTCATCGAGCAGAATATCTTCTAAAGCCTTCTCGTCAAGCTCAAAGCTGTGGGTTTCTGTGGCCACAACAATCGGAATGGGACGCGCACCCAATAACTTTGAATCTAAATCGTGCGAGTTTTCCTGCGTCTGTGTCATTGTCTCGTCACTCCCTTTCAAAATAAAAGGTTGTGTTAAAAGAGTGAAGGATGCAACGGTGCCAGTGTAATCAAGGGTTTCCAGTCAAACTAACCCCTACTTTGCCGGACATCCATAACGTACGTTATTTGAAATTGACCTCCACACTTTTTTGTAATTTCCAAAATGGCCGCGCTACCGATTGCGCAGAGCCATGGGATGGAATGGCCCTCTGACAATGATACGGGGGGGTAAGTGAGGAACAAGATAATATAATTTCTAAAGTGTTTTGGGCTTAGTTTCTCAGAATTATCAGATAATTCATTGTAAGTTGTTTCTAGTGCAGCTATCTATATTTTTAGATATTTTTTAACTTAAAAATTTGGCCAAGTGAATAGAAATACGTACTAAATTTAATTGATGTCAAAATATTCCCTAACCTACCCTTGAGGAAGAAAATGATAACTGCTTCCCGTTTTTGGCAGTGTAGAATCCTGGGAGATTATCAACTTGGCGGACATTTTGTGATGAACAGTTCCTTCAACTCGTAAATTTTTCGTTTTCAAGCAGCTGGAAACATGTCAGAGAACTATGGTATAGCAGAAATTACTTCTTAATATTTTAAAAAATAGCTCTTTGTGAATCAACTGTGTTTTCGTTACGTGCGTATAGCTAAATGGTGTTTACTCGATCTTCACTCAGCACAATTGTAAGAAATTTAAACTGTTTTGTTTTATTTTTTCGTAGATTTCCTATTTAAGTTTTTGGTGATCGGCAGCGCTGGAACAGGAAAGTCATGCATTCTGCATCAATTTATAGAAGGGAAATGTAAGTTCCGACACTATTTTTTTGTAAAAATGATACACCCCAGCTGAGCTAGAGAGAAGCTAAATTTTTCTTTTTTACATAACACGTCGATATTGATACGTTCTGCAGCCCTAGTTAATTGCTCTCCTTTAGCTTCGATGAGCAGAATTTTCTTTTTTCTCAGTATTTTCGGATTTTTTTCTTGCGTGTATTTATTTTTATGTTATTTATAACATGGTTCGTATTTTTGGCAGTTAAACAAGACTCCAGCCATACTATTGGTGTGGAATTCGGCTCCAAGGTCGTCAATGTTGGTGGCAAGTCTGTTAACTTGCAAATTTGGGATACAGCTGGACAGGAGAGATTCAGGTAAATTTATTGTACCCTCTGCTAGTTGCACAGTGTTTGATTTTCTGCGGTTATCGTTACGTTTTCGAAATCCTAGCTAGCCACTGTCAGATCGTGCAGTGTATGATTTTCCCTTTCCTCCAAGTATTGTTTATACGTTTTCGAATCAATTTTAAGCAATTGTTTTTGTTTTTTTTTCCTTTCTTAGCGTTAGCTGTAGCTTAAATTATTCAGAATCCTATACCTTTCTTACATTTCTTTGTGGGAGAGGTTGGTGACTTATGTTTCAAATAGTCATTCCAAAGTTCGTTTTCCAAAGTCAGTTTCATCCCTAACAATTATAGTCAAGAAATCTTGCCTTAAAAGAGTTATTATTAATTTTAAGACAAATTGTTGCATCCTAAAGTGCTTAGACAGTTGATTAAAATTTCAGAATGGCAGAACTTAACAAAAATGGAGATGATAACATTAATTTTCTCCTTTGTTAAATGTACCAGTATCCTGCAAAGATAAGTTCTAACATGTAGATGTTCTTCTTTAACAGTTTTAACAATACTGGTTAAGTGCCAGCCAAGATTTCAGTTTTACTCAACAACATCCTGCACTTTTATTAACAGTTTATTAAGGAAAATTACAAATTGATTGGCTTTGCTTTGGACAATTGGTAACTTATTTTTAGGAATCTAAATTAAAAAATTCTGGACATCACTGATAATTGAAAGTATGGTTTGGCTTGCACTTCACCTAGTGGACAAGAGATCAAGAAAAGTTGCTGGCCCAGTCTGGAAATTTATTTTCCTTGAGTGATGTGGTTACTCCTATATTTGATGAATTAAAATTAAATGTTTCAGAACCAGGCTTAGACGCCACAAATAAAGGATATGGCTTCTTTTTACTAGTCACAAAAATTGTCTCTTTTACTTTGCTTTATTTTTTTTTTCTTATTGTAATTTTGATCTCAGGTCTGTGACAAGGAGTTACTACAGAGGGGCAGCAGGAGCTCTTCTGGTTTATGACATTTCAAGGTAAATAACCGTAACATACACACTGATGTACCTGAGGAACACTTAGGGAGAGACAGGTGCTCAATGGTTCATGTATACAGCACTAGACTGCTGGCAGGGAGTCCTTGCAGAGGTCCAGTGCAGCTTGAACTCATAACCTTTACCCACTAGCCTTGCTTCTTTGAGTTTTCAGGGTGTTGAAATGTCTTTTTTTTAATTTTTTTATTTTGCAAGGAGGATTAAACATTAATCTGAGTCTAATAGAGTCATCATTTATGAGCACTAACCCTTTGTTCCCTTCTCTTTAATCCTGTATATCCCTAGATCTGAGTGTTACTTCTCCGTTCTTCTACACAATTTCTTGTCAATAAGTTATGAGAATTTGATGTTAGATCAAGATGACAACTTTTATGTGACAAGATTGAGTATTCTCATTACCTGGTTACTAGATATTGTATGGATTTTATTGGGTGAAATTACATGTTAATCACTTCTGGGAGTTAAAGGGTCACAATTGGTCAACTGACATTACACAATGGTGTTCTTTTGGGAATTACCATCTAATCTATTATGCTAGAATTTGTCAGGTCATAAAAATCCCTCTAACTATAGTAAATCAATGTGACTGGAGGTTATGGCAGTGATATTATTTTATTTTAAAAAATAATGATATTCTTTGAGGCAATTGTTGGCATAAAGGATTACCTTCGAGTGTCATACATGTTAAGTGTCTTCTTTTTGCTTGTGTTTGCAGCCGTGAAACCTACAACTCCCTCACCAACTGGTTGACAGATGCCAGAACCCTTGCCAGTCCAAACATTGTCATTATTCTCATTGGAAACAAGAAAGATCTGGATAGTGACAGAGAAGTCACATTTCTGGAAGCCAGCAGATTTGCACAAGAGAATGGTCAGTTAATACCTGTAGAGGAATTACTGTAGGTGGAAACAAATGGATAGTTTGCATTGCTGGAAAACTGTTTACCAGTATATCTTGTTTTCTGACTGTCTGACTTTTTTCCCTCTTTGCAGAGTTAATGTTCCTGGAGACAAGTGCTCTTACAGGAGAAAATGTTGATGAGGCCTTTTTAAAGTGCTCAAGAACCATCCTAAGTAAAATTGAAACTGGTAAGAGACTTACTTGTGCCTTGTTTGGGTGTCAGCACTTAGGACCACTCTGTTTTATGTTGCAACTCCTTTCCTGCAGACTGTTGTAGAGTGTTGTACCAGCTTCCTGGGTCTCAAGCCTCTGGTTAACACTCTGCCAAGGACATTCCTAGCTACACCTAGAGGCACCTATCCTCTTTGCAGATAGTCATCCAGTTAGTTTATCCTACAAATGTTGCATCAGTGGACAGTATTACCATAATATTTCAAGAGATTGTATATAATGCAATGATAGTTTTTTTTTTGTTTTTTTTTTACAT